ATAATAATAAAATGGTAATACGGTTTCTGGTAATAAGTTGCTGTTGCTGTATAATACACAATAATAATAATAATACAAATATACAATAAAATCACAGCAACATAAATGTATAAAAAATATGATAGTAAATAAATATATAATAATTAGTGCACGGCTATTATAGCCAGCAGCATAAACAATATAATAATATATTAGGTAATACACGCTCTTAGCCAAGCGGCATAAAATATAATAAATAATAAAATAATAATGCACGATCCTTATGGCCGAACAGAATAAATTACAATAATATTAAACAGCCCTTCTGGCCCTATCGAAACAATATAATAAAATAATACGGCAAACTTTATGAGCTGCTATATTGATAATAAATGATGTGACCCTTCTGGTCCAACAATATATAAGCTGAATAATAGTTAAAATATATTAAATTAAGGTGTGGCCCTTATGGCCAAACAGAATAAATATAAATTGACCAGCTATTTAAGCTCGTATGCAGGTATATAATATAAAAACGATATGCGGCCCTTCTGACACGGTAATATTATAATTATACAATATCTAAGGCCCTTTTGGGCCTAACAACTAAAGTGTAATATTGTAAAATAATAATATAATAATAAAAACTCACAGTTTGTGGAGCGCAGCCTAGCTAGCTGGTCCCGTGCTAGATAAAAATACAATATGCCGTGGTACTCGGCGTATAACAAATAATATAATAATAATAAGTGACGATTCACACACGTAAAAATACAATGGATATTGAAAAAATGGACCAATATAATAATAACAATGCCCTTATGGCTCACAATAATAACATGATGCGGTAATATAATTTATTAAATAAAAAAAGGTGGCGATTTGCGCCTATGACTAGATATTAGAGCAAAAAACAACAAGTATAAATATTATTTAACACTTCGATGTTCGTGGAACGACGAACGAAAAAAGGACAGATTCCCGGCCGCCGTGCTAAATAAAATTCGCATAGACGGCGCGGCGGCGTGCGATAACGTTTAATCTACATAATATTATATTTATATAACTCACAAGACACATTCAATACAAAAATAAAACAATACTAATAATTTGATATGTGTGTGTGAGGCCAGCTATATTCCTCCGTGACCAGTGATAATGATGATATAAAAATAATTCGGATGTCTGAGCTTATCTTATGATAAAATTTTCAAGGTAGAATAAAATAAATTAAATCGTCATAATATTAGCTTCGATATCCAAATTTTAACTTAAAATATTATATTAATAAAAAAAAGACTGTGCAACCTATATAATAGTATATTGTAGATTTCTTGGTTACAGCATGAACCTATTATGAGAAATCTTTTATAACATTTCAAATCTTCACTTATACAAAATCAACCCGGGGGACCCTCCGGGGAAAACAAATCCACTGACGTTAAATATAATAGGCTAAACATTTGACCAAGTTCGATGCATATTAATTATTCCGTGGTTATGACTTATGACGATACTATAATTATTATAATATGTGAGTATTTGGCACTGCAGTGTCATAAAAATTGAACTCGGATAAATTATATTAATATTTTGTAGTTTTAAATACAAGCTTGCTATATTTTAATAACTTTCATTTTTTCGGCGCTCATTATGCTCAATGAAATATTTCTTATTTTATTAAGTTTTTATACATACATAATTACTACAATTTTGGTCGGTTTTGAATATCTATTTTTTATGATGTATCATAACATACTTTAAAAGATTCAAATATTCACAAATCATGTGTTTATAATATTATTACAACATAGTCGTTATTGTTCGTTAAAAATCAGATTTTATCGACATTTTAAATTAAGAGGTTTTTAAAAAATAACAGTGTTTATATAATTTTGAATATTTTGTTTGAATAATTGATATTTATAAAAAGATATGAGGAAACTAATATTACATTTTCAAGCGTTTTGACCTAGCTACAATTATTGTTTTATTGATATTTATAAAAAGAAACAAGAATAAATTGAAAATAGAAAATTGTTATTTAAATATCACAAACAGTGAATAAAATATTATTTTGAATAAAATGTATAATAATGATAAAATACACATTTGGTGAAAATTGTAATTACCTATCTACGCATATTCGTTTTTTAATTACAACAAAATAAGAAAATCAGTCGATGAAAAATCTGAAAATCGTCAATTTTTGGGTAAATAATAATAATAATCATATGTGAGTAGTACATATTTATTTGAATATTATCGTAATTAAAATTTCTATTACATTTTAGATTCTGAGCGTAGCTACAACAAGCTAGTGGTTTTACAATGATGTTTATTTTATTTTATTTTTTTTATCTTTTAAATAAAATTTTTACCCGAAGGAGTGCTGTAATTTATAGTATCTTATCTTTTAGCAAATTGGATCAATATGGTACTTTAGAGTGGTAATTTTTCTCAATAGTTTTTAACACCCGGGAACGCCACCGAAATACCCTAATTATAAGCTATTTTTTTTCTAACGCTTTGTATATCACCATAGAAACTAATACAATTTTAAAATAACCTCTAAAAAAATGAAAAAATATGAATTTATATTTATTCAGTTTATTATTGAACATAAACATTATTTATGAATCTAATTTCAAACTATATAATATTATTATAAATAAACATACTAATTTCTATATATATTATATAAATACGTATTATGCTTAAGGAATATGAAATTAAAATTTTATTTGGTCAATCAAAATACTAATAAAATTAACACTATTTAAAATTATTACGACTTTTTGGTTACAGGATTAATTACATTTGAGAATTCTTGTTTTAAATTTTCATTCCTTATAGATATAAAAATTAAACACAACAAACATTTTTAAATAAACATTTAAACTATTACAAATTAATTTAAACCATCTCATCTTAAAAATTAGGACAATATATATTTAGTAGAAAAACTCATATCCAATGCTATGAAATTTAAACATATGGAGACCTAACATTGTTTATCAATTTATAGTGTAGGTAGAAAAAAATATTTTGATACAACATTCAAAAACTAGAAAAAAAATTAGAAAAACAATAAAGATACAATTATACAATGTAAGAAAGACGTTGAATCGAAAAAAAATAATAAATTCTAATGTTATTCTAAGAGATAGTTAACTTCTAACAAAATGATAGTTAATTAATATAGTAATGTAATAATAAAAATAGAAGAAAACGAAAAAATAACAGTTTATGTTTACATGTTGGGAAATGAGAAACGAGATAAAGTGAAAACGGAGTTATAGAATAGTATGACAAAATTGAATACAAGAAAATAAATACTTTGTACTAATTATGTATACTAAGTGACAACATGGAATTGATAATTAATAAGAACAAAAATAATACAAGTTAGGTATTGTACTGAATGTATTTAATATTAACTTAATTTTGAAAACTCAAAAGTAATGTAATTATATTTATACTAAATAGTGTGCGGTATTTATAGATGCAACCGATTCAATTTACCAATCATATTAATTATTAACACTTTATTTGTGTCCAAAACGATTTGATTTTGATTACAATAGTATTGGAAATGCTTGATTTATAAAATTGTAGCTTAATGTTCCAAAAGGTATAGACGATAATGTCTAAGGAAGAAGAGAAGTTTAGGAGGTCAAATTGGAAAATATGCACAAAAAAAAAACGAAAATATGCATAAAAAAATGTACAATAACAATATTACATTATGATGGTTAATTAAATACTAAAAAAATAAATGCATCTATGTAAATAAAGTAAATTTAATTGAACATTTGTAAATTTTCAACATCTAAACGACAATCATTTTCCGAATAAATATTTTTCAAACGCAAAAAACTTCTATAAATCTAAAATATTATATATACTGACTTGATATTTATTTATGCTCTATTGACTTTCATATAGCAATTTAAGTAATATTCAACAATAATACGATACTTTAGTATACCTACGTTTTACATTCTAAGTATGAACGCTGTTTTATTGAACCTACAGCTTTTGTGTTTCAATTAGGTCATTACTTATTATCATTTATTAAATGCATTTATATAATTATATGTATTTATATGCTCGAAAAATCATCAATAATATGCTATTCCTGAAAATATCACCAATACAAACAACAAATATGAACTCACCTGGTTATAGAAGAGATTTGTCAAGCTTAGGAGTTAGGACTGGCAAGAATATTTTGCGTGTTTTACAATGAGGTCGCACGAATAAATACGTTCTGTATAGATCACCCTGAGCTTAAATGTAAAATTTAAAATATCATTGTAATAATGTAATAATTCAATGGTTTAATATAATATAATAGATTAATAATCAAATAGATTAATACTACATAATAGGTAATTAATATTCAATGTAAAATAAAGCCTTGGCATAAACGAGTTAAAAATTAAAGTTAAGTTAAAAGTTAAGTACCATACCATACTCCGGCATACAGGCATATTGTTATAATAATAATTAATAAATACTAATTCCTAACTAATAACTAATATGATAATAATATTATCTTATTAAATTGGTATAGATACAAATCACTAATGTACAATTCTCAAGAACATATTATTATAAAATATTTTCGCCATAAATAAGTTAGGTATTTATTTATTTATAAATCAAAAGAATGTATTTATTTTGGCATTTTCAATTTCGTATGCTTTTGGTACCTATTAGATAATTCTATTAATTCAGTACCTAATAATTTAATTCTATGTATAGAAAATCTATTGGCTATTTTCTGTGTTCAATAATATTTATGATTTCTATTATTTTGAACAATATTAATGGGTATTTGTATACTTACATACTAAAATAATAATAATTATAACTTAACTGAGTTAAAAAAAAAATTAGATTAACTGTTAACTGTTAATTTTAAACTTTTTAAAATGTTTTTCATCAGCTTAACTTAACTCCTCGGTTAAAAATTATCATTAAGTAGCCCAGGCTTGGTAAAATATAATATATAATCAATATAGTTTGACGTTCATGGCCAATTTTGTGAGGCAATTGTCTAAGTCATTATTTTCTAAAAAGTTTTGAAGAATACGGTTGATTCTCTCGTCCAATTTTATACATTGTTTGTCTATTTTATTCCCTTCTGAATTTATTTCTAAAAGTCTAAAACTTAAAAATAAAAGTTGATGGTCACTTTCTGCTGCGGCTGTCTTCAGTTTTTCAATTAAAACCCAAATACTCGGGTGTGACCTTCCCACCAGTGTTTTAAATTTATGATTCCATACTTTGATGATGTTGTTTGTTCGGTACTTTTCATGGTGGCAATTCCACATTTTCTTAGAAAAAGTGGTGGAGTCCAGCCAGGTTTCAACAAAATAGTTATTAAATTCATTTAGCTTCTCGTCATCAGGTGCATTACTTTGAATAATAAGCCAAGCTTCATCAATTTTATCAAGAGGAAGGTAAGCCATTCCTCCACACTTCCTAACATGCATTTGAACATCTTCATTTTTTTTACATACGGATGCTAAACCAACATTCTGAATTTTTCGCCACAAGCATTGCGTGAAGTGGAAATGGCATCCATGCAATTGTATTTGCGGAAAAACAGTTCGTAAGGCGTTGATTGCGGCTACCTCGAAGTCGAGGTGTACGGACTGTGGATTCCATCCAATATTTTTCATTCCCTCAAAAAGCCGATGGTACGTATGTTGCTTTTTATCGGACATAAGAGCAAAAACGATAGGAAAAGCATTGCGCTCGTGACAACTAGAGCTTACATCGATGTGAAACGTGTACAATTGTGTGAATTGTTTACTGTAGGTCTTAGCAGTTCCACCCACAAAAAATTCGGAATACTTCTTCAACGCACTTTTACCTGGTAAAGAAGCGAAAATTATAACTCTGCTTGTCTTATCGACAGTTGCGTCCAGAACAATGAATGAAGTCCCGTCCCTCAAAGCGACTAGGTCAGCCGGTATCTCAAGTTCTAAGGGTTTTGGATCATGAAGAGACCATCTATATTGTTTTCGGATACAATAAAACGAAGATCTGACTCTGGCAAACGTGGGAATTTCTGCGAAAGACTCATGCCCAGCGCCCACCAAAGGTCGCATAATGTCGTTGTAAATAGAATGAACTGGAGTATCCTCTTCACGCAATCTGTAAAAATGTGGGACATCCTGTATATTGTTATTTATTTATTATTAATATGTTTTACCTCTTCCGAGCTGCACATAAGAATTTTGCGACTTCAGTCTTTTTCGCGTTGGGAGTACACGCGTGATCGGTGATGGAAAGCACAGTCTTGCCTCGTGACTTTAACGTTCCTTTGCACTTATTTTTTCTTTCGTTTACACACATCCAGCTTATGACTCCATTTGTGTGTTTTCGAATTTGGCGATATTGAAACCCGGAACCGTCAATTACAGAAGGTTTGTTTCTAGTTGTTTCTATTAGTTCCATTTAAATATAGGCAGCAAAAACACCGTTGCTATACTGATCACACACTGATGTTAAATGGCTTACTTATATTATTTAACCGAGACGAAAATCGACGTGGTACGCAAGTGAGACGTACGCATCTGCACAAACACCTGTTGTTATAATAAAAGTTGAGTATTTTTTTATTTTTTTTACAAGTTCTTAAAGTGACAAAATTCATTAAAATTATGAAAAGTAGCAAACCTATTTTTTATAGCTAGGAATCAAAACGACAAACAAGGGTTTTCTCATACGTAGTGTATATTGCCGCACACTTTTGATTTCGACCCCAATAAGGTTGATAGACAACACCCGAACGCATTAAAACAAAGTTCCGCAAACTTATAGTGATTAAAACCGCACACTAGTTTTAGTGTTAAATAATAGATAAGATAAGATAATAAGATACTATATAATAATCGTTATTAGTCGGACATGTGTATTGTGTAAAACTAAATATAGTGGTTATTCAGTTATTGGTTAATACGTAAGTGATATCTTGCATTTATTTCAAATATTTTTAATTCGATATTATAATGGCTTCAACAGCGCCTCATTTGAAGAAAAAATTCTGTTTTATGTTATTTACAATTAAAACGTTACACAGTTTTTACGTTTATCGTTATTTAGAACTAAAACGTTATTCAACTTTTGCGTTTATCGTTTTTTATAACAGTATTAATACATATTAAATTTAAAAATTTTTAAAATTATTAAAATAATCACTTATACGGGTGGGTTGGCCTGGATACGGAATAAAATATAATCAATTATCAGATTGTTTGCATGGAATAAATGTTTTTAAGAAACCAATAGACCTTTTAAATAAATAGATTTTAAAATATTTCGTTTTGCGTTATTTTTTTGTTTAATGATATTCTATAAATTACGTTTTGCGTTTTTTTTTAGTTTAATGATATTCTATTAATTACATTTTGGGTTATGTTTTGTTTAATGATACATAATATATTTTGTTAATCGTTATGTTTTGTTTTGCGATATTTAATTATTTTTGATTATCGCTTTCCGTTAAATTACGTTCACAAATTTCAACTTTTTTTGTCAAATAAAACGTTATTAGTTATTACCATAATGTTGTTATAACGTTTGCAAGCCCTGATTTTAAAATTATTGATAATAATAATAAAGGGGCAACTTAACATAAGACTCATACATTTTTTTTTGTTTGAATAAATAATAAATTATAAAATGTACATAAACACTATAAAGTATAATAATTATTATCAATCGTTTTGGGGTCGAAATCATAAGTGTGCGGTTTTTGGATTCAACAATTTTTAAAAGTGTGTAGTTTTGTCATGTATTTTATCGAAAGTGTGTGGTTTTAGGAGTCAACAATTTGAACTGTACCCACTTAACCGCATTTTATATGTGTACATATTTTCAGTATATTATATTGTAATTATTAGGGCAGTGAATTTGTAGGAAAGTGAATTTTTTTAGGACATTGTAAAATGTAAATTTGTAAGTACCTACATAGTTTAATTATGTATAACTACGATTCCATTTATGAAACTTTTATTTATCTTTTCATTTTTCGACGTTTTTAATTATATTATAACGATATTCTTATTATAGTTTTTTTCCAGTATTTTTAAACAAATTCCGTCAACTGACATGTTTGAAAAACATTTTTTTGTTTTTGTTCACAGGCTGTATATATGTAGATAAAATAAGGCAATTCCTAGATAACAAGGTAAGTTATTTGTGGCGTATCTTATATCAGTCACGAATTTCCAGATAAAGTTGGTTAATAATTTTAGTAGGTAGGTATAATTTTATAATTTTTTTTATTATTAAATAAAAACATTTATATTCATGTAAAATATAATTCACCGATTAGTATAATCAGTATAATACACTATAGTATCAATATAAATACAAAAATTAAATTAGAAACCATTTTAAGAGAATTGTATACAGTAATTTTTGACATTTTATATTGAATTTTTTGCATTTCAAGTGCATATCTTATTGCATTATTTTTTGACATTTTTAATGGATTTTTTAAGGTTTTTTAGTGCATTAAATTCACAGCCCTCGTAATTAGGTATTAAAAAAAAGTAAAATAACATAATTTAAAAAATAATAGTACTACGTACCTAAATATTATAAAAATGAGTATTGGATAATTTTCCGGATTATTATTCTCGACAGAATGCAATTGCGAATGTTTAACTTGCAGAAAAAACCATAACGTTGATGAATGGAAAGCCCGAAATATTACATAAATAATTTGTTACTGTTGAAATTACACTAAATTTATTATTAAAATCAAACGTCTAAATTTAAATAACAGAAAATAATCTCTGGACAAGTTTACTACCTCTACGCTTATTGGTTATTACTTATTACTGCACTGCTGCGACATGACTGTGCGACGTGAGAGCCCGTCGGTCACTCGTTTCTGGAATTTGCTGAAACAGCGTTCCATAGCTAGTAGCTACCCACTCTCTCGTGGTATTTTTTACAAGCAATTTTAAAATGAAGTGTTCAGAGCGCACGTATTATACGTACCTACTCAAACATACTACGACTGTACAGTGTGATTGCACATTCTTATATTTTAGGAAACTCATCGTGTTTGAGCACAATCATTTATTATTTTTAAATTTAACACAACAATATTTACAAATCCACAATCAGGTCTCAAGTATGCAAAATAAGTTTTTAATACAACAATAGTTATATTTATATTGCTCTTAAAACGTATACAATGAGAAAGATCGTAAGCTATACAAGGCTCACACATATTTTTTCATCGAATAAACTTTTTTTTTGTTTATTTATAGCAAAGGGACAGCTCGATTAAATTATCGATACAATATTAATTGTTACCAATAAAACGTAGGTGTTGCCTACTTAAAACAGTTTACGGCATTTAATTAAATATAATATTATACTTTGAATATTTCAAGTATCCACGAATAATAATGTATTTAAATTAAAACAAAATAACTAAAATTTATATTCTCCGTTTAAATATCTATATAATTTCACCCTGATTTGAACTGAAAAGAAGAATTGTGTTTAGATGTATATTTTATAGATTTTTTGGTTACAGTACAGTTACAGTTATTTTTGTAAAACACCAATGTGTTGTATACCGTATGGAGCCTATCGGCCGTATCATATGTGGTCAACATTTATAAACAACTTATGATCACGATGTATTTTTTAATTATTAATTAATAAATATTAACTACAAACCATTAAAAAACAGACAAGAACTAGTTATCAAAAAAAGTATACTAATAGTACCTATTCCAAAATTTTTTTTAAGTATTCGAATATGTATTCCGAACACAAAATTAAAGTATTCTTTACAAGACTGTTGATAGGAAATCAAAGTCTGAGTCTATGAAAAGACTTGATGTAAATTACGCAGAAAAAGATAGTAAATTATGTATTATTTAAATTATTTTTCTATATTATAGGGTCATGGCAGGGGTGGTTCCAGTGGTGGGGGTTAGAGGCCTCCCCCCACCAAGGCCCAAAACCCGTATTTCTACATATTACTTGTGTTGTAAAAATTGTTGTTTTGTATTTGTTATTATAAGTTTTGTGAAAATTATAACTATTAGGCCCCACCCAACCAAGTCTCTGGAACTGCCATTGGGTCATTTGGCGGCAAAATATGTGTACCTCCCTCGGTAATACACATATTTTCACAGCACTATTTATAAGTGTAAATTATTGTTATATGGTATTGATATAATTATCGCTTACCTGAGTATGTAACATTCGTGTATTTACTAAACGTCTGATCGGAGAGGTGTTGAATTTAATATTTTATGTGTTGCATGCAGAGCTGTAGCTAGGGCTTGGCGAGACTGGCCCAGGCCAGGGGCGCAACGAAAAAGGGGCGTGAAATCCAGAATAAAATATACCATATAATAATATATAATATATATTTATGGTATTATTATTTATTGGTGTTCTTAATAATTTACATTTTATTAGAATATGCACAAAACAGTTTTACTACTATAAATACATTATAGTGATTAGTGACTATATACTATTTTATAGTGTGGGTATTGTGTATTATATATGTCGCATCCACATAGTGAAACCACTCATTTCATGAACTGGATATCCAGATAGTGAAATTCATCCACATCGTGAATTTTGACGAAAATACATTATATGGACATCCATTTCATGAAATGGACAAAACCTATATCGTGTACTTTGTGTAATTATTATTTTATTATATTTATTTTTACACGACGATTGATTAGTACATCGACTGTTACATTGCATATTATTTTTAAAACAAGAACACCTACTTTATCGTGAATTATGACCTTTTCAATATCACTAAAGATAATAATGCTTTATCCATGATCTATATTATATGAGGTAATTCCACATCCGATATCATATGATTGTTTCTTTATCGGATATTCGGATTACAGTTGACGGATACCTATGTAACTCCTAACTCCTAAGTTGTTAGTTGTTAGTTCTTAGTGAGTGTTTGTGTATAACACAGTTACTATTGTGTTTGAAGTTTATACGTGTACCAATTTATTATTTCATATAGCAACTTTTAATAAAAATGGAAGAAAAGAACGTATTTTATGAAAAGCTAGATGAATATTATAAATTGAAATCTAAAAAAAAACCGTTCACTTAAATATGCTCAATTACAGATGATTGCTGAAATAGAAATGGCTAAAATCAAAATGTAAGTAATTTTGGACTTAAATAAAAATTTACTTATTTAAATCAAATATAAATTTAATAATATAAATTTTAACACGTTTAAACAACAATAAAAAACTACTCGATAATTGATACAAATTGTAATATTTTTTATTATTATTTATTCTAACAGTGGTAAAAAAGATCGACGACAATACTATCTACTATCTACATATGATGTATTAAGTGTTGCAGAAGAAAAGTTTTTAATACACAAACAAAATGCAGCTGATGAAAAAATATGGTAAATT